GTTGATGCAACTGAAGTACGATTGCTCGAGATTTTGCTACATTTTTATAAATATCTTGTTTTAATTTATTTGTTCGATGAATCAGATATTCTTTGATTTGGTTAGAAATAGATGAATCATTAGCATTGTCACTAATGAGCGAATGTGATTTCAATTGTAGAAATGTATTTTGATATTGACTATCATATGCTTGTAGTTTAATTTCACAAGCATTGAAAAAAAATATTTAACCATAAACGTTTAGCTTCTTGTGTAATTTTATAAGATTTATTTTTTACTTGTACTGATTTTTGATTATTGTTCAATGGTGAATAAGTTATAGGCGTAATGAAATATTGTAGTTGATCAAAGTTTTGTGGTAAAAATTTACATAAAATTCGCATTTCTAACATTAAAAGCTCTTCATAAATTTCTCCTTGTTTTTCACGTATTAAAAGTAATTGATTTATGTATGCATTCTAAATGAATATAAATTAATAATGGAAATAGATATTTTATAAAAAGAAAAAGAAAAGAAAACAAGATGAAACTCTATAGACGCTTACCCGATCTGTTTTAAGAAGAAATGTAGATAGAGTTTTCAATAAATCTTTATTATGAAAATCATCTTTAAATTTTAACAATTGATTGTTATTTTTCATCAATAAGTATTTTCGTTGACAAATAATAAATTCATTCAGGCGATGATCAATTTCATCTAACGATAATGTTGTTATGGGACATGATTGTGATTGCCTATCCAGTTCCATCTGATATTGACCCAAATTTGTTTTTAGATCATTTATATGATTCAAAAGATATTGATGACAAATTTCGAAATCATTTGATTTGGCTATCGTATAAAGTCGATCCTTTATTTTTGTTTATAAAGAAAAATAAATGATTTGAAAAATAAGCAATTGAGAATGAAACTTACTGGCCACAAATGTTGTTGTAAACCTATATCTAGGTAGGATTCCCATAATTGTTGACCTATTCGTAGGCAATAAAATCGATCAAACAGGTCGAGACGGGTGCAAATAAATCTTTCGTCAGCTTTTTCTTT